GAATGATGATGAAAAGATAAGTTACTCAAGAACTGAATAGACCCCTCCCCCCACCCCCATAACACAAGAGGAAACCATGTTAGCAGATGAAGGGGAGGGGAGGCTTGCAGTTAAGGTTGTGAAACAGGAAACTGGATAACTAATTCAATTCCTGTTCTGCTTCAAACATACTGTGTGATCTTGGCCAAGTCACTTAATCTCTGTGACTCAGTTTCCCATCTGTAAAATGGCGATGATTGCACTTCCCTGACTCACTGTGGTGTTGTGAGGATAAATACCTTAATAACTGAGGTGTTTGGATACAATGGTGATGAGGAAGGATAAACAACTGAAACAACTGATAGATTGCACGTTGACGGAAGCAAAGGCTGAAATTGTGGAAAAGCAACATCACTTGCCCCACAACCTCAGCCATGCTGAACACAATGCCATCTGCAGCCTCAGGAACAACTCTGACATAATTAAAAAGGCTGACAAAGGAGGTGCTGTCGTCATCATGACTAAGTTGGATTACGACCAAGATGCTGCTAGACAGCTCTCTAACACCACATTCTACAAGCCATTATCATAGAATCATATCCTCTGATCCCACTGAGGATTACCTAAAGAAACTACACCATCTGCTAAAAAAACTCCCTGACAAAGCACAGGAACAAATCTGTACAGACACATGCCTAGAACCCCGACCAGGGGTATTCTATTTGCTACCCAAGATCCATAAACCTGGATGCCCCATCATCTCAGGCATTGGCACCCTAACATCAGGATTGTCTGGCTATATGGACTCTCTCCTCAGGCCCTACGCTACCAACACTCCCAGCTATCTTCGAGACACCACTGATTTCCTGAGGAAACTACAATCCATCGGTGATCCTCTAGAAAACACCATCCTGGCCACTATGGATGTAGAAGCCCTCTACACCAATATTCCACACAAAGATGGACCTCAAGCTATCAGGAACGGTATCCCTGATAATGTCACAGCTAACCTGGTGGCTGAACTTTGTCCTCACCCACAACTATTTCACATTTGGGGACAATATATACCTTCAAGTCAGCGGCACTGCTATGGGTACCCGCATGGCCCTACAGTATGCCAACATTTTTATGGCTGACTTAGAACAACGCTTCCTTAGCTCTCGTCCCCTAACGCCCCAACTCTACTTGCGCTACATTGATGACATCTTCATCATCTGGACCCATGGAAAGGAAGCCCTTGAGGAATTCTACCATGATTTCAATAATTTCCATCCCACCATTAACCTCAGCCTAGATCAATCTACACAAGCGGTCCATTTCCTGGACACTACTGTGCTAATAAGCGATGGTCACATAAATACCACCCTATACCGGAAACCTACTGACCGCTATACTTACCTACATGCCTCTAGCTTCCATCCAGGACACACCACAAGATCCATTGTCTACAGCCAAGCTCTAAGATACAACCGCATTTGCTCCAATCCCTCAGACAGAGACAAGCACCTACGAGATCTCTATCAAGCATTCTTAAAACTACAATACCCACCTGCTGAAGTGAAAAAACAGATTGACAGAGCCAGACGAGTACCCAGAAGTCACCTCCTACAAGACAGGCCCAACAAAGAAAATAACAGAATACCACTAGCTGTCACCTTCAGCCCCCAACTAAAACCTCTCCAGCGCATCATCAGAGATCTACAACCTATCCTGAAAGATGATCCCTCACTCTCACAGAACTTGGGAGACAGACCTGTCCTCGCTTACAGACAACCCCCCAACCTGAAGCAAATACTCACCAGCAACCAAACATCACTGAACAAAAACATTGACCCAGGAACCTATCCTTGCAAGAAAGCCCGATGCCAACTCTGTCCACATATCTATTCAAGTGACATCATCATAGGACCTAATCACATCAGCCATACCATCAGGGGCTCTTTCACCTGCACATCTATCAATGTGATATATGCCATCATGTGCCAGCAATGCCCCTCTGCCATGTACATTGGCCAAACCGGACAGTCTCTACGCAAAAGAATTAATGGACACAAATCTGACATCAGGAATCATAATACTCAAAAACCAGTGGGAGAACACTTTAACCTGTCTGGTCATTCAATGACAGACCTGCGGGTGGCTATTTTACAACAGAAAAGCTTCAAAAACAGACTCCAACGAGAAACTGCTGAACTCGAATTGATATGCAAATTAGACACAATCAATTTAGATTTGAATAAAGACTGGGAATGGCTGAGCCATTACAAACATTGAATCTATTTCTCCATGTAAGTACTCTCACACTTATCAACCTGTCTGTACTGGGCTATCTTGATTATCACTTCAAAAGTTTTTTTTCCTCTTACTTAATTGGCCTCTCAGAGTTGGTAAGACAACTCCCACCTGTTCATGCTCGCTATATGTGTGTGTATATATATGTTCCATTCTATGCATCCGAAGAAGTGGGATGTAGCCCATGAAAGCTTATGCTCAAATAAATTTGTTAGTCTCTAAGGTGCCACAAGTACTCCTGTTCTTTTAACTGATATACTGATGCAGTACCAATCCTCTCTCCAAAGAAGAGAGATCCAGGACATAAAGAAGAAAGAATGGGAGCTTCTTTGAAAGAAGCAACAGATCTCTCAAGTCCATACTGAAGCAAGTATGACTATTCAAGCTGAGTCCTGCCAAATTTTCGAGGACCTCGAGAAGCAAAGGAAAAAGATTGAAAACTGGGGAAAGAGCGGGTATACATAAGCCCCACCAACCATTAAGAAAGAAAAGCATTCTAACAGAACTTGAGTCCCTGCCTGCTCTGGAACACTACCTCACTTACATGGTGTTCTTACCTGTGGCAAAGAGATTTACATCTGGATGACACCATTTGGCAAAGAAAGAGGATGTCACAGAGTTCTTGAAAGGAAACAGTTGGGGAGGATAGGGGGGTAAATCAAACTCCCTACTTGAGTTATTTCACCCAGGAGAGGGTAAGCAAGATTCACCAGCAAAGGTTAATCTGATATGCAACTCCCATAAGGGTCTCAAACACATGGAGGCTTCTTTTCCCCAAAAGCACTTCTAATGCTAACTGTGGATCTATCACTTAAAATCTAATGAAAACAGTCAATTTTCCCAATGTCCCATAGACGCCACCTGCACTTTCTCAAGAACAGCATATAAAGACCCCAAGAACTCCCTATATTTTCAGAATTGGTTCATCTTCCCACAATCATCCAGCTGAGGACTCATGGATTTTCATTAAGAGTCTCCTTTCTCCATGGACAACTTTATTCAGTTCCACAAGCTGCCAATGCTCCCCCCGGATGGGAGGCCTCCTCCTTTATGCCTGCAGCATCCAACCATGCAGGCTCCATGTGTAGTGCATCCCACTGTTGGCTTCCCCTGGCACCTGCACCCACCCAGCTAGGAACAGCTTTGGCCAAGAGTTCCCATTCATTCAAGAGTTGGGAAAAACAAAAGGCCGCTTTCCGGTACTTTCCCCCATGCATCTCCTCACAGGGCTGCAGTAGGGGCTGTGCCTGTGTATCTGGGGTCAAGTCCTGCCTACTGGCAGGACGGGGGTGACACTGAGCAGCACATCCCTTGGCCCACGCCACTTCCCGCAGCCCCCATTGGCCTGGAGCGGCGAACTGCGGCCAGTGGGAGCCGCGATCGGCCGAACCTGTGGACGCGGCAGGTAAACAAACCGGCCCAGCCCGCCAGGAGCTTACCCTGGCGAGCCGCGTGCCAAAGGTTGTCTATCCCTGTTCTAGATCAATGGGTGAAAACACTTAGCGGGGATGTGGGAGAGACAGGTTCAATCCCCACTCAGGCAGAATGGGATAAAGAATTTGAACAGCGAGGTGCCTGCATGCAGTGTGGATTTAGGCACTGAGCTCTGTGAGGGGATGGGGTTTAGCACACATCCCTCTGACTGGCATCTCCCAGAAGCTGTCTTTGGCAGCTGCCTGTCTAGAGAGCTGTTTTTTGTAGTACGGACTCTGTGTTACCTCTCCCCTCCCCCCATGCATTATATGGGGAGCATAATCACCTAACTCAGGATTTGTGAACTGCAGTTGTGTTCCTCTGACTATCTTGGTGCCTAAAATCTAGGCAGGAGCACTGCAATGCTTAAGTCCCTTTGTGAACATAGGACTTAGGTCTTTTCCTCACTGATAAAAAAGGTGATTTTTGTTTTATTTGGTAGCTAACATGCAGAAGCTATTCTGACATAAAAACCACAGTGAGAGGTCAGAGGACAATATACACATACGGTTGTGCCAAAGTTCAGAAGTACAAATTTAGTTTTGAAAACTTGATCAATATGCGTAACAGTGACAAGGGATTTGGGCAGGGGGAGGGGTGTTTATAATGAAGAATGGTAGATTTTCTGCTTAATAGCTTGTGTTTAAAATGGAATAATAATAAACTTATTTCAAAAACTGTTTACAGTACTTTACACTAGTTTCAGTGTTTTGGAAACAGTAAAATGTTATTATAGCCCATCATCTGCAATGGAAAGAAGCAAACAAAAAAAAACCCAAAACCTTCAGGTCTTATGCAATAGCCCTGAAGTTTACCTCTGTAGAATGTTTTTTCAAATTACAACAATATAATGTATTTGTGTCCACATACATTTGAAACAGAAATTTCACCATGGTAGTAAATCGTGAGGGGCGTGCCCACAACCATCACAACTTGCTACCTCCTCCCACTCCCAGATGCAGGAGATGGGAGAAGGGAAGAGCCAGCAAATTGTGACACGTGTAGCAACACACACACACACACAGAGCTAGCCTTGGACCAGAGGATGGGGAAAGGTCAAGGTAGCCCATTGTATCAGGGCAGCAGTTTGCAGCACTACACCTGGAGTGGCAACCCGCGCGCAAGCCCCAGAGCCCGCCCCTGCCCATCCCGGCGGCCTGGCCGAAGCGAATGCGGGGACCGGCCCCGGGCAGCCCCAGCCCCGGCCCCGGCTCTCCCATGTCCCAGGGGCTCGCTGGGGGGGGGCAGCCTCTCACCTGGGCGCGGCGCGGCGGCAGCAGCTGGAGGCGGCGGCTCCCCGGCTGCAGGTTCTGGACGCTCAGCAGCGCCCGGTACCGGCCCCCGGGCACCGCGTCCATGAAGCGCAGCTCGGCCGGGCAGAGGCGCAGCCCGGCCACGTCCCGCGGTCCCGCCATTGTCCCGCGCAGCGCCCGCGTCCCGGGCGCCTAGAGACGCAGCCCGCAGCTGGGAAGAAAGAAGGAGCCGGCACCGCTTGGAAACGGTCGCCGGGCAACGAAAACAGACCCCTGATTGGACGAGATTATGAGCGGAACTTCCAATTCAACCAATAGGGTGAGAGGCTCCGGGGCTGAGTCTATCTTGGCCCCGCCCCCTTGCTCATTAGCTACTGAACCGGCAATAGGAGTCCCCAGGGTTGGGGGGAAAGTACCAGCTGGGGTGATCAGACAGCAAGTGTGAAAAATCAGGAGCGGGGTAATAGGAACCTATATAAGAAAAAGCCTCAAATATCAGGACTGTCCCTATAAAATGGGAACATCTGGTCACCCTAGTACCAGCCTTAAAGCCCAACCCTGCATGCCCAGGCTGGGGGTATGTGGCACACCCGACTTGAGCCCCTGCCTTGGGAATTCCCTCCAGTTTTATCATTTCTCCCTGTCAGGGATGATGGATCCTGTGGGGAGTTTTGTATGAGACTTGATTCCTCGTTCGCCTCCTTGGGGCAGCAGATGGGGTTTAAAATGTGACTCCGGTCAGAAAGATAACTCTAAAACACAGCATTAAGGGGTCCTGTGTTCATTGTGCCTCCTTTACAAGAAAAAATTATTTTGTTTTTCTAACGGCTAGACCTGCAAATCCAAACTGGGATCTTAAAGTGAAGCTGGGTTATTTATATCACCAATATCAGCCTCAGTCAGAGTCTGCAGGTGGAATTCAGTTAAGATCTCTGTTGACATTCAAACCAGAGGAGAAGCCAGCTCCCACAATTAGTATGATTGTCTCTGCAAAACTGACTAAGTTAAAAAGCTTGTCTGACTTACATATAAGGAGCACGGCCTGTTATGAAATGAAGTGGCATTTTTACATGCTTTTTTCAAAGTAAAACCATGGTTTAAAGATGGAATGGAACAGTCTCTTCCTCTCTTTGGCCTCCTCTAGACTAAGATTGAAGGATGTGATATTAGCATGTGTTAATATCACACCTTTCAATACAAGTCTAGAAAAAATGTTTGAAGATGGATTTGTTGCACAGGTGCTGACTTTGTAATGTGCCAGGGGGTGCTCAACCTCTGTCTCTGCCCCATGCCCTGCCCCACTCAACCCCTTCCTCCAAGACTCCACCCCCACCCTGCCTCTTCCCACTCCACTCCTGTCCCTCCTCTTCCTGCCCTTTTCCGCCCCCTCCCCCCAGCGCGCCGTGTCCTTGCTCCTCCCCCTCCCTCCAAAAGCCTCCTGCACGCCGTGAAACAGCTGATCACAACGGGCAGGAGGCTCAGGAAGGGAGGGAGAGGTGCTGATCAGCAGGGGTCTGCTGGCAGGCAGCAAACACTGGGGGGCAGGAGGGGAGCTGATAGAGGGGCTGATAGCTGAGCACCCACCATTTTTTCCCCATGGGTGCTCCAGCCCCGGGGCACCCACGGAGTTTGCGCCTATGATTCGTTGCATTTATTTCCAAGAGATTTACATTGTCATTGAGTGACACAGTTGTGACATAGCAGCTCTATGCTAGAGGACTGTCTAGTTAGGTACCCAATATGTGACATTTCTTAACGGGACTTGCAAAGGAAAATAACATTGGGGTTGTGCCCTGTTTTGATTCTTTGTAATATACAAAAAAAGGCCTGAAACTTTTTTCCTGATGGATTTTTTTTTTTTACACTGAAAATCCAGGTCTTGAATATTACAACTGGAGAACTAGTGAAATGATACTGATTTGGATTTTTCTTCCTGTCTTTTTTATTTTTAGCCAATTAGTTCATTTTATCATCCATTTATGAATGTGTTATTTGGTGTTATGGTCAATTTAGATGCTATTTCATATATAATCAATGTATGATAAATAGATTTAAATTGTAGGATTATAGAAGTATAAGACTGATAAGCACTCAGGAGTGATAAATCGGTATTAGGCATATAAGTAAAGTAGGGCTGGAATGCAAGGCCTACAGGCGGAGGCCTGTTAGATTTTAGCTTAGCCATACTACACCATAGGTTTAAGAATTCTTGACAAGAATGGCTGACCTAGGAATAACTCTGTGCCAGTAAGGTCACAAGATTACTATAAAAGATGTGTCAATAGGTGATATTACGGAAAACCACAATGTATTGTCCAAGACCATGAGATACCTAATTGCAACATCATGGAATGTCCTGACTGCATGTTATATGTTGTATATAGATGCTAATAAGAATAAGAGGAACTAAGAAACCACCTATGAAAAATGGGGCATCCCAATATACACTGGGTGTGGAAGTAAAGATAAGGAAAAGAGAGTTGAAACCCTCAGGTATATGCATAAGGTGTTAGGTGTGGTCAGAACAACAATATAAAAGAGGTTGCCTGATTGGGTAAAAGTGGGAAGAGGCCATGGGAAACCCCAGCAGGAATCATCCCTCTATTGATAATTGTCTGTTGCGAAGTCCATCGGACGGGGCACTGGAACAGGGGGAGAAGTCGCAGGGGGCCTTGGCCCCATAACTTTTTACCGGCCGAAGGGGCGAGGGATGGTGGAGAGGAGGCGGAGAGTAGAGATCTGGGGGTGGGGTCTAGGGGGGAAGAGGCGGCATGTGAGCGGGGCCTCTGGAGAAGTGCGGTGCGAGGCCGGGGGCTCAGGGAGATTGCATGGTGTGAGGGCAGAGCTTCAGGAGAATGGGAAGTGTGGGGGAGGGGCCTCAGAGGAAATTGGCTGCACAGGGGCGAGGCCTCAGAGAGAATGGGCAGCACAGGAGCAGGGTCTTGCGGGGAAGGGGTGGCGCGAGGGTGGAGCCTCGGGGAGATGGGGCAGCATGGGGACGGGGCCATGGTTCGGGTGCCAGTGGCCCCTCCACTTTTAGGAAGCTTCCACCACTCCTGCCTTCAGACCCTAGAATATCTTTGGGTATGTGTGTATGACTACAGTCTTAGTCATTGCATGTTTTTTGTAGGATTTTTGGATAATTGTAACTTTACTTATTGCTTTAATAAAACTTGTAGTACAGACAAGACTTTGTATTTTGGGAATGTATCTGTGGCCACTATCCTTGGTCTTTGTGTGTCCCTCCAAATTTGAGAAAAGCACCAGACATGATATTCACTCTGTTGAGCTTGAAACTGTATCAACAGGAGCTGAACCCATGGTAGTGTAATGCAAAATTACTAAATTCAATTTAAATTAAAAAAAGGCTACAGATTCATTAAGAACAATGTATTAACCTTGTTTCTTTCTGGCTACAGTGGTCAGACTAATTCCCTTGGCTGTAGCTCACAGTCACCCTTACCTTTCAATAAAGAGGTGTTGTATCTCACACAAGTGTCTGGTTGCCACACCATGCAAGCCTGAATCTTCATATTAAAGGTGAGGGATGTTCCAATATGCTCCTTTTTATGCAAATTAAGTGCATTCTTACCACATCTGGAAAAATTGTGCTCTCATGTCATGAATGTGGGCACCATGCTACCTTGTCGGGACCATAATAAAACTGAACATTATGGAATTGTTTGATCTTATATTTGTATTCTTAATGTGTATTATTCATGTACATATTTAACACAAGTAATGGGAGAACCAAACCAGGACTCTAATGACTGCATTTATTGTTGAAAAGCCCTGTGATAAATGAAGTGGGGAGGGAGCTCCCTTTTATGGACACTCAGCCAGCTGGTTAACTATAAAGCCACCCTTGTTGGCTGTTCTCTGCTTGCTTTACCTGTAAAGGGTTAACAAAGTCTCCCAGGTAAAGGAAAGGGAGTGGGCACCTGACCAAAAGAGCCAATGGGAAGGCTAGAACTTTTTAAAAATGGGAAAAAAGCTTTCCTTTTGGCTCTTGGTTGTTCTCTCTTGGCTGAAGAGACAGGGGCAGCAGAAATGCTAGGTAAAGTTTGAACCAGGTATGAACAATTATCTTCCATATCTAGAAGGATTCACTGGGACAGGGAATGTTTAGATAGATGCGATCAGGTTTATTTCTTTATTTTGGCTTGTGGATTTCCTCTGTGCTAAGCTCAGGTATTTTTGTTTTCTTTTGTAAGGTTAAGCTGGACCCCAAGGAGCCATTCCTGGTGTTTAACCCCTTTTCAGTTGCTCTATAAAATCTGGCAATAGCCTGATTTTCCAGATGTGATTCCTTTCTTCTTTTTTTAAAATAAAATTTACCTTTTTTTAAAAACCTGATTGATTTTGTGTCTTAAAAGGTCTGTGCATATGTTTTTCAATTAGCTGGTGACAACAGCTGGGTTTCCCTTTTGTTTGTTTTCTTTCTCGGCTTCCCAAGGGAGGGGTGGAAAAGCCGAGGGGCCTTAGGGAAAACTTCCCAAGTGAGTTTTTCCAGGATTTGCAAGAGGCAGTTTTTCACTTGGGTGGTGGCAGCGTTTACCAAGCCAAGGTTAGAGAAAAGTTGTAACCTTGTGAGTTTAATACAAGCCTGGAGTGGCAAGTATTTAATTTTTAGAATCCTTGTGGGCCCCCACCTTCTGCATTCGAAGTGCCAGAGTGGGGAATCAGCCTTAACAAGCCCAATGGCCACGGGGTCTACAACTCTACACTAATGTATCATTGTATGTATTTACTCAGTGGTGGAAGCCAGATGTGTTCATAAGACAAGGTGCTCCTGCTTGCTTTGCCTTCCTACTCTGCATGTAAGTGATAAAAATGAAATTGACAAGATTCCTGCTCCTAGCCAGATTTCTAACAAGATTATGGTCAATTTCACTTTACTGCTTCAATTCAACTCAATAAAACAGACTGGGGCAATGGGGGAAAGTAGCTTACATTACATGCATACAAAACTTTAAGGCTAAACACAATTTCAATTAACCAAAAATTTGGAGCCTCAGACTTATTCACCCTCTGGAAATATGTGAAATCACAAAATTGGAGGCCCCAGAGTACTCACATTTTTATGGGGAATGTGAGGAGTTGCACATTGGACAGCCTAGATTGACAGATCTTCTTTAAAGGTAAACTGCATAGAACAAAAA